TAAGGTTATTGCTAGTGGTAATGCAGTGTTACACTTTGTTCTCTTGAGACAGTAAGGTTATTGCTAGTGGTAATGCAGTGTTACACTTTGTTCTCTTGAGACAGTAAGGTTATTGCTAGTGGTAATACAGTGTTACACTTTGTTCTCTGAGCTCTTGAAACCATTCCTACCAGCAACGCATCCTTACATTTAGTATCTAGCAGTGGAGTTACTCCTAGAAGTAGTACACTGTCATAATTATGTTTCTTGGAGCTTGAGAGATATGACCAACAAAAGTGTAGTACCACAGTTCATCCTTACGTTTGAGTACGTGACGTACTCACCGTAGTTCTGTAGTGCCACAATCCAATTTCCTCAAGTCTGTGAAATAATCCTAGTAACAGTGATGTGCGACAACTTAATTTCTTTGAGTCTATAAAACATTTCCAGTAGCAGCACAGTACACGTGCTTCAAGTCTGTGATGTATGCCCAATAGTAGCGTCAATGTCACGTGTTTCAGGTTTGTGATTCATTTCATTGAATCTTAATACATTCAGAGCATTAATGTATTTCTAAAACTTCGAAGCTTGTGAAATTTTAAAAGAGAACTGCAGGGTGACTATAAAACTACTCTATTGTTCACAACTCCATAACCTAGCTCACGTTAGCAAAAATAATTGTACATACACGTAAGTTATGGTGTATAAGTAGCCAGAGTTTTCTATCTGGAACTACGTGGTTATTTCCTCTGTGTATAACTTGACAAGAGTCGTCAAATAATGCGTCAGTTTGAATAGCATTTTCTGTAGAATGAATGTGATGCAGAGGGAGTTTTACGTGCCTTTCATCATGGTAAAGGTGTTCGTCAAGGCCCATTTAGATCTAGGACGTAAATTAATCTCTTCCATGCATGGGATCTGCAGCCGATGCACCACGATCAAGACACCCACTTACAGCTGCGGAAGTTGTTGCAGAAATTGAGAACGTGTCATTGGACACCAGACAAGGCAATCTTCTAGGAAAATAGAGTACCCAACACGTTGCCAGCTCTTCTGGCCAACTCCATCACGCTGTACAGAAGGTGATGTGTAAGACACTAAAACCGTTTCCATTCAAGGTACTAAGAGTATGGGAAACGTTTCCATCAACTCAGAGAAACATTTGAGTTTTGGCTTTGAAATATGGTGCACAGGCGTGGAAGAAACACTATTTTATGAATCAATGAGGCCCATTTCCTCATCCACGACCAAATTAACACCCACAGTTAACACCAATCGACACGTATTACTAGAAAAACACCTTCATGACGTAAAGGTGAGTGTATGGTTTACCAGCAGTGTAATCATCCTATTTTTTCAGAAGCTTTACAAACTGTTATGGTGACTGGGACACGTTACTCACCTTGCTTTATGCAAGATATTTACTAATGCTATGGAGAAACAGATACGCAGTGCTTTCTGTTAATGAATCATCAGTAGGGGTTTCCGTACATTTAGGCACCAAGTCTCATCAACACATAAGGATTTCTGGCTATGAAGCCATCTTAAATTGCTGATGTAGCATGATCATTCGCAGACAACCGTTGACCTTAAGAATGGTATTCAGTGTCGCATTCTAAACATCCACAGTAGGCAGTAATATGCAGGTCTCACACGAGGATTTTTGGTTATGGAGCTATCTGAAAGTGTTGACTGTTGACCTTCAGAACACCATTCAGATACATCCACAGCGGTCATTTGTGTAGCATGTCTGGAAGTTGTTACTGTGAACGCTTACTGTAAAGATAAATCTGTTCAGCAAGTTGTTAAATACTTTTTCTCTCCATAAAGTTGTGTTGGTAACGCAGTTGTTTTATGTTAAAGTTACATACTAATTTTGGCGTTGTTTAGGTGCGGAAAATCTGAAGTCTGGGAATATGTTCCCCATGTATATACATACAAATTCCGTTAACCTATACGTTACAGTTTGTGGGAGATAAGTGAGCAGAATTTGTGAAGTAAGTTTATAGTTACCCTGTACTTATTTATTAAGTCATTCATTTAAAGTTTTGCACTTCGTGTTTTCATAAAATGTCGAATTATTTTATACACTGTTACCCTTTAAGCTAGTTTTCAATTACGTAATAGTTATGTTTGATCCTATTCTAAAGATCACCACAGCCATGTAGATGAACCACTTTATCTTTCAAGGTATTTGATGAAGGAAGAGTCAAGTTTATAGTGAAATTACTAAATCAAGTTTGTTTTTTAAACTGTACAAGAACTAGTAATACTTTACTGAAGTAAAATCAACTTAAATACAAAATGTGATACTACAAGCTCGCAGTCTTGGACAGTAAATTACCCGAAGACTAAGTGAACAAGATGAAAAGTAGAAGAATTCACCAAGCAGCGTAAGGTTTACACTTTTATTTCACATAAAATGGAATCTGTACATCGGTTCTTCAAACACGACCGTGTTTACAGATATTAAAAACACAAAACATTTGAATATACAAAAGAAAGATGGGAAGAAAGTGTAACAATGATTTGTTTTAAAACATGGCGAAAATGTAAGAGTAACACTTCAATTTATTCAACCTACCTAACCACGAAACCTTCAACAGCTTACATACAAAATGTGTCAAACAACTGTATTTATAGATAGATATTAATAACATCTCTCTAATTTGGTTTCCAATAGATTGCACCATTCATAGATAGTCGAGCATTTTTTGTATAAAAATAAATGAATTATCAACTAATAAGTTCAAGAAAAATACAGACAAATTAACAAGGTAATTTATATCATCATACGTTACCTTAAAGCATAAAACGTCTAACTCGTAAAAACAAGGCAAAACCTAATAATGTGTTATATTTGGCTAATTTAATTTTTCATTGGTAGTTGTATCACACTAGCTGTCCGTCCAGGCCAGAATTGGTCACGTGACACGCAATTAACCTTGTTTTTACGGTAAATATACATTCTTTATTTCACAGCGTTAAAAAAAACGGTCTTGAATTCACTTATAATTATAAAAATCAACTATTCCGATTACTTACACCTACCAAATCTGTCCGACCAAAAACAACGATTGTCATAGTTGGATTTAATATCAATCCGTACCAGAAGGATTTAAAGTTCTTCAATTTAAAACCGACTTAGGAAGGCTCGTTCCAAACGTCTCCACGAGGTTTAAATGCATTGACTTAAAAACAGAAAAATTTTAAAACATTTATAAGAAAAAAAGAGAGATACTATTCGTTACACGTTACTTTCAACGTCACTTAAGTATATTTCTAATATATTTGTGGCTTCAAATGTATTCTATATTTCAATCTTGCATCTACCACATAACTTCCCGATGCAATATATTTTGACACTACCAGATCTTTATCAGAAATACTTTACCAATACGTTCTTTGATCCTATTGTTACATTCTATAGTTCTAATTTAAAAATAATTAACCAATATCTTCCATTACAATGATTTTACCAATACGTTCTTTAATCCTATTGTTACATTCTATAGTTCTAATTTAAAAATAATTAACCAATACCTTCCATTACAATGATTTTACCAATACGTTCTTTAATCCTATTGTTACATTCTATAGTTCTAATTTTACA